ACACAAAATAAAACTAATTCTGTACATATTGCAAGAAAAATTCTCATAATACAGAATCTTGTTGGTCCAAGAAAAAACATAATTAAAAAAAGAAAATTAAAACGTTACACATTTAGTTACAGTAAATTATTAAATTGAATAAATACAGTTTCCGAAAGGAAAATCAAACAAAAATGAGCTGACAACAGGCTGTTAGTTAAATTGGTGGAATAAAATCATTAGGTTTTTCAACAACCAATCACATTAGTAGACATGTGATTTAATAGTGTGTCAGTTAATTAACAAGCTTTTATGAGTTTCACCTGTATGTATGTAACTGACTCGTTTGGAATCGAATTTGATCCACTTCCTGGTTTCCGATTGAGCTGAAATTTTGCATGCATGTATAAATCGGATGACAATGCAATATTATTATGACAGAGCTTTTCTGATGATGGAGCTGGAAGGTGGCCATAGAAACTCCGTATTTAAACGACGCAACCCCATCGAGTTTGGGCTCGTTTAATTCGTCTTGGCGAGTATCTTGGTTGGCTTGAATATGCAACTCCGGCAAATTTGGGAAAAAAAGTTCGTTCCCTTTGTTATGAATGTGGATATTGTCCGAAGTTTTTTTTTTTTTTTTTTTTTTATTTATAAGAAACAAACAGTCACATATGTTTACAATTGATACATAAATATTATTGGTTTCTAGACCTATAGTTTCCTTAACTAATTCAAATAATAATTGAGCCCGTAACATTGGTCAGCAATATAAATAGCAAAATTCACATTTAAACTAAAAGCAACTACACATAAGAAATGAAAGTACATACATATATATATACATACACACACACACACATACATACACATACATATACATATATATATATATATATATATACATAATAAGCAGCAAGGCATTTATCAAGCAAATGTCCACAAAGTAACACTTACTTATCTTACAAGCTTCAGCCATATATGAGTTCAGCAATACTCCTTCTAAACTTATGTTTGGATGTCTCAAAGATATCAGTATTTATAAAACGCTCATTGAAAAGTGCGCAAGCTCTTTTTATAAAACTATTGCTACCGTAATGAGTTTTACTTGGCTTGATAAAGAATAATGCTTTTCTACGATTTGTTCTCTCTTGCCTTCTGGGTACACGGAAATATATTTTTTCTAATAAAGATGGAGCATCTATCTTATTATTTAGGACTTTATATAAACAATTTATATCTGTTAGATCCCGTCGGCGTTTTAAAGATGTTATATTGTGAAAGGCAAGGGAGGATTGATAATCGATGTGCGGGTTACCTGTTCTATAATCCAATGATTTTATAAATTTACGTTGTACCTTCTCAATTTTGTCCTGATGTACACGATAATAAGGATTCCACACAGGGCTTGCGAATTCCAATCGACTGCGCACGTAACTGTTAAAAAGCATCTTATATGTAAGAGAACTCTTAAAAGGTTTTCCTATGCGCAATATGAATCCCAAGAATTTAAAAGACTGGTTTACTGCTTTTTCAATGTGCGGGACAAATGTAAGTCTAGAATCCATTATAACACCTAGATCTCTTATTTCTGTTACGCGATTTAAAGTTTTTCCACACAATGTATAACAGAAATTTATCGGGTTTTTTTTCCTTGTAAAAGAGATAATATGGCATTTATCTGGATTTAAAAATAAATTATTATTAATGCAGTATCTTTCAAAGTTATTTAGATCGCTCTGCAGTAAAGTACAGTCTCTAGTATCTCGTATAACTCGGAATAATTTTGTATCATCTGCATAAAGAAGAACATTAGAATTATTAATAAATGTATGTAAATCATTGACATATAAAATAAAGAGCAATGGTCCTAGGTGTGATCCTTGAGGAACACCCGAAGGTACATCTTTGTACGCAGATTGATAACCCGACAATGCTACAGCCTGACAACGATTCACTATGTATGACTTTATCCAGCGAAACAAATCGCCGTGAATACCGAGCTGCCAAAGTTTAGTTAAGAGAGTATTGTGTTGTGACAGATTTTATCGAAACACTTGGCGAAGTCGGTATAAACAGCATCAACCTGAACATTGCTGTCCATTTTATCTAATAAGATCTCTGTAAAGCTGAGGAGGTTACTATCAACACCACGCTTCCTACAAAATCCATGCTGAGATTGTGCAATGAACTGCTTGACCACGCCAAGTAATTGGTCCGTGACAATTTTTTCTTGAATTTTGGCAAATTGACATAACTTTGAAATGGGGCGGAAATCCACTATATCGTGGCTAGCAGAACCCTTAGGAATTGGTGTTATTAGTGCGCGTTTCCATTCATGCGGCACAATACCGTTGCTGAATGACAACTTAAAAATGTGCAGCAGAGGGGCAGTTAATGAGTCAGCACACTTCTGAATAAACAAAGGGTGTATACCATCTGGACCCGTTCCTTTATTCGTGTTAATACCTCTTAAGTATTTACTTAATATTGTCTCTGAGATATCTATAGTAGCCACATCCAACAAAGCGTTACTCGGTGGATCCGTCGAAAGAATGGTAGGGTTTTCTGATGTGCTACTTACAAAAACTGAGTGGAAGTGTTCACTAAAGAACTCACAAATACGTTTCCCATCACTACTACTCTGTCCTTTATAGTGTAGTAACTCCGGTATCCTACTATTAGCCTTAACACCTTTTACGTATGTCCAAAAATACTTAGGGTAAGATTTAATTTTGAGTTCTGCATAACTTATGTAATTTTTGAAACATTCTCTCTCCATGTGTTTTGATCTTTTTCGTAAAAGTTTAAAAGTTTCATAATCTAAAGGATTCCCATACAACTTCCAACGCTTATGAAATTTTCTTTTTTCATTTAAGAGTTTTCGCAGGGGCTTGGTATACCATATAGGATGGGTACTGTTGGATGTGATTAATTTTTGGGGTACGTATTTCGTTATAAGATCATTTAAAAGTAAGTAAAATTTAGAAACGCATTCTTGCAAGGTTAAGTTCTTGAAATATTCTTTCCAGTTCACACTTTCCAGCTCATCATTTATCAGATGATAGTCTGCTTTCACAAAGTTATACCTAAAAGTCGGTGCTGGCTTAAGCTCAGAGAAATTATTTATATTTAAACAAATTTGTAAAGATTTGTGATGTGAGTCTTCGTGAGTTAGAGGATGTGAACAACTATAAATATCACACTCAGTGCTACTTAATACCAAATCCAATATTCTATTATTAACATTTTTAATTCCATTATATTGCTGCAAATTACTGAAAGACATAAAGTGCCTCAAAGTGTTGACTGAGACGTCACCACCACCTTGAAGCAATTTACTGGGGGTGCTAGTATCAAGCCACACCGCACTGGAAATGTTAAAGTCACCCGCCAATAGATAAAGGTCATGTGGGCGTTCATTTAAAATATCACCAGCCACGCTAAAAAAGCCCTCCAAGGCATCACGGTAACCCGGACCGTGCGGTATGTATATACAAGCAATGTTCAGGTGTTTGCTGCGAGCTGCATTCAACGGTATAGATACCCAAACACAGTCGCAAGAGGCGCGCGGCGGGACTGGCCAGGCTCGGCACAACGGCCGCAAGTCAGTGCGCACGGCGACAGCGACGCCGCCACCACGTCTCGCACCGCTATCAACCTGCGCGCGGTCACACCTGTATATAGTATATCTGTTATCGAAATATTCTCTATCGTAAAAATCGGGAGTCAGCCAACTTTCGGTTATACATATGAAATCATAGGCAGAAGCAGTTACCTGTGTCAGGAAATCATGTGATTTTGTTCGCAAGCCCCTAACGTTCTGGTAATAACCTAGTAGTTTCTTTACGGACGGACCGGATTGTTTAAGATACAAGTATGAGATAGGTACTGATAACAACAACGAATCACAACACTGAAATGATTTTTAATAGGAACTTTCATTAGGTAAGAGAAATACTTTATCAACAGAAAGTGATTTATAACAAAAAAATGGACGCATAAGGCTAGTGAGAACAAAATTTTTAGACCTATGAAAACATAATTTACTGTAGAATTTGATATGGTTAAAATTATATAAATTATATAAAGTACTGGGCTGACATATAAAATAAATAAATATGTAAGAGGGAGTTTGCTGCACTCATTTATCATGAAATCTAATAATAAATATGAAGCTATGAGAACATAATATACTGAGTAATTAAAGTAAGTCAAACATTTATATAGTGTTTTGCTAGTACATATGACAAAGAATCGTTCAAGAAGTCATTTAAGCTTAGACAGATCTGATTCACTGGTTATGGTTATAACCTTTGACTCCTTGCTCTTGCGCATAAATATCTTGCAGTCCCTTATCCACAAAAAGGAATACTCCAAATCGGATTTTAGCTGCCGAGCTCTTTTCAATAGAAGTTTGTTCCTTGGAGTTAGGTGATCGGACACATAGATATTTTGTTTAGGTCCCGACAGACCAATGTCCACGGTGGAAAGTGATCGTCGCTCTCGAACTGCAGCTAAAAGTTTATCTTTAGCGATACGGCGCGTGAATTTAACAACTATGGCTGGAGGTCGTGGGCCGGTCGAGTTAGCGTCCGCCGCCGCCGAACCGCTGATTTCAAAACGCCTCACACGCACTACGCTATCTATGTCTTGTTCACTCAGCGAGCAGTTAACTTTATTACTGATGACATGCAATAGGGTGTAGAGGTTTTCACCAGCAGTAACGGGGATTCCGGAAATCTCCACGTTGTTCATACGTGAGAACTGATCCCGTTTATGATTTTCGAGCTCAAGTGCCGCAATAGCGTTTTTCGCAGAATCCAAATCAGCTTTCAATTGCGGTATCACAGAAGATTTTTTCTCTGTTTCTATAAGTCTGTCCTCAATGGCGCTAAATCGAGATTCCATCTCACAGAATTTTTTATTCAATTCCTGTATTGCCGTAGTAACATTTTGGATGTTGGTATTCAATGAGGCAAAGTCGCCACGGAACGCTCTCATCTCCTTAAGGACATCGGCTATACTTGCCTCAGCGTTCGCTGGGGAATTGGACGAACCCCCCACTCCCACTGCTCAACAACATCGTCGCAGGACATGTCTGCATCTGTCGATACCTGCTCAAACTGCCGCCTCGTAGGTGTTTCATCTCCTTTAGGACGTCTGGATGTCATGTTACAAGTGGGACAGATCCATTTGTTCTTAGTGGCCATGTATGCCTGCGGTGACATGTTTAAACATTTGTAGTGATAATGTCCCTTACAACCCACACAAGTCAATACCTCTATACGATTAATCTTATTCTTACAGGCTTGGCAATCCATGGTAATAAAAAAAAATGTGTTGGTATAGCCAAACAAGTGATTCTATCAAGTTGTATCTTATAGAGTTGTTAAGTTTTGTTAAAAGCCCCTAAAAAAACCCCCAAAAAATTCCAGCCCGTAAAAAAGTCCGTTTTAACACTTCTAGCCCCTAAATCTGGGGGCAAAACCCCTAAGTTAGGAACCACAGACCAATAAGAGAACAAGTTTCTCCCTTTTTAGAGAAGGCAAAGGGAACAATACCCGTACAGCCTAGTGTTTAGTTATATTTAATAATTTATTTTTTACATTACAATGTCAGTGTGACGCATTCTACTGTTTCTTGGCACGAAATGCATCGCGTTGGCTTTTTCCTTAAGCTTCTGTGAGGTAGTCAACACTACAATAAAGTTCTCACGTCCATTTGACGGGAATCGTGTATATTTCAAAGATTTCACTAATTCTTCAGTTGCGCAGACAGTTGTAACACAACATTACATCAATTTTATTTCACAATATCCACTAAAAACGAATTTAAGAATAATTAAATTATGACGCCAACCGCACTCGATGAAATCCCGCCAAAAGCTCCCTTTTTTTAAGATTCTCTCGTTTTAGGATAGGCAAAGAGAACAATGCCCATACATCCTGGTCTTTAGTCATATGAATCTTATTTTTTTACATTAGAATGTCGGTGCGACGCATTATTAAGGTTCTTGGAGTCTTTGGCACGAAATTTAGTTGGTTTTTTCGATAAGCTTCTGTGAGTTAGTCAACACTACAATAAAGTTCTCACGTCCACTTGACCGGAATAGCGTATATTTTAAAGATTCCACTAATTCTTCAGTTGCGCAGACGTAGACGGTTGTAACACAAAATCACAAAAAAAAATTACAATATCCACTATAAACGAATTTAAGAATAATTAAAATAAGACGCCAAACGTACTCGATGAAATCCCCCCAAAATAAACCTTATATTGAAGGGATTTCATCGAGTTTCATCGATTTTATTCTTCTTATAGGGCATGCACGGTATGTGCGTTCAGCCAACGTCAAGTAAAAAATTAAGGAAACAGTTGAGGAAAAAAAGAATCGGAAATATTAAGAAATTTGAAAAGGATCATGATTGTAAAAAATATATATATATCTACATTTAAAGTTTTATACTATTGAGCAAAAGGAATGATATAACCTCCTACGACCCAGTTTCGAAGAGAGTACTTCCGAGAAATAATAATAATATTTATTTAACAATAGTAAAATGATACATGAACATTAATTTTACAATAAGCACCATACCAATAACATGTTCAAAACAGTGCGAGTCTCAAACTCCCAAACTAGGACATGTCCTGTATCTCAGGAGTCAGTGGCTCATCCCAGTTAAGTAAACTCAATCTCAATAGCGTACTTAAGAACATAATGTTATGAATTTAATGCAAATGATTCTGTATCTGTTTGTGTGCGTGTGTGTGTGTGTGTGTGCGTGCGTGTGTGTGTGACTGTGTGCGTTTGTGCGGGTGGGTGTGTGTTCATGCGCGTGGGTGCGTGTACAATAATAGGTAGTTTACCTAATAAGATCTTCAGTTTCCTCATAATTGTATTTTAGAAGTAAATCACTTACAGTTTTTTTTACATTATGTAGTGTCAATGAAAAAATGGGTTTTATATTATGAATTTTATTATATAATTTTGTGCTGACAGCGTTATATTGTTTACTAGCCCATGCTGTGCGACACATGATCTGGGAACAAACAGGAGCACAGTGACGTCTTGATGATGTGTCGAGCTCCAGAGGCAGGGAAGAGTGTTTGCGTAGAAGCATACGAAGGATGGAGAAAGACCTAATGTCCTAATAAAGTACTGACCGCCCAGAAAAAAATTGTTTGTATCTGGTTAACCTCAACACATAACTGCTGTCATATTTTAGGGGTGAATATTTATTTAGGCTTGTCAGACAAAAAGAAAAAACACCAATATCTTTTGTTCTTTATTTAGCACATTGGGCTGTCACGTATGAATGTGTGTGTACAGCAAATCGACCAGTCTTCAAAATCTTATAAAAAGTTATATATTTAAAAACTTAATACTAGCAGAGATCAACAAAATAGCTTTCACCTTTATCAAAGTTATAATAATAGTTAAATCTTCTTTCTCATAGAAAGCTCAAATATCACACACAAAATTAAAATGTTGGCATCAAAATCAACGAAACAATAGTATTTGTACCATTAAAGTTTTATAACTGACCTTTTTCTAAAAAAAACTCAAAAACCCCTCAGCGAATGGGAATTTTAACAAAAAAAATATACTAATAATTACCATTATTGACCTATTTTCATAATAGGAATTCAAAAATCACATTAAGTTTATGATTTTCAGATCCTTGGAGCTAAATCAATGTAACTAAAAATTTACGGTTTTCGCAATATTTCCTTTATCTGTACTATAATACGTTACTTCGTACCAAATTTCAAGATTCTAAGTTCACGGGAAGTACCCTATAGGTTTGGATTCCCGTGCGAGTTTCGAAAAGGAGATTGCTCAGCTTCCATACATGTTTGGCCTAAAGACCAATAATTATGAAAAATTGTTTCCTAGATTCGAAATAATATATAAATTACTGTAGAACTGAATATTATTGACGAACACCCCTGAGAAATTCTATAAACCATATACACTGAATGATTTTGAGGTTATGTTTGCGAAAAGTTATCATAATTTTATAAAAACCAATAAGATGTATTCTTAGTAATAGTTAGGTTTATAATGGTAAAAGGTAATTCAAATGTAATAACATCGCACTTCTTACGAAAAACTATTTTGAATTTGTATAAATAGCTGTAAGTTTTCCCATTCAAATAAATAAATAAATATTTTTTTCCAAAAGGCTGTTAAAATTTTGCCAAGGCTTTATTATTTAAGCTAAAAATTATGCTTTGGTACAATTTTCGATGTAAAATAAAACGTATTTAGGTGGCATATTAATAACCCAGACCAGTTAATTAATAATACACGTAACGTAATAGGCTAGTTGCTCCTTTTTGGAAAAAGGTTTTAAATGGTTAATAAATGTTCTATTAGACAGAAAAAAATGTATTGTATTTTTTTGAGACCTAGAAAGCTACTTTTTAATTTTAAAATAGACTTTTCATGGACATACAAAAACGCTTTCGGCCATTTTAGTCTATAGATTATCTATGCTATGACGTCAACCGGTAGTAAACAAAAACTCTTAAGCACGTAGAAAATAACTTAACTGAGTTTATAATAAAGAAAACATGATATTCTAATAAATACCACGAAAAATATAGTAAGTATCATTATTGTATTGTACGAGAATGTAAAAATACATCCTTAAAGACTCCAGGAAAGTTATAGATTAAAAAGTGCCGAAAGAAATTAACCTATAATAAAATTTATTTTTGCGAAGATCACTTTGTCGTAAGTACTCATTGAATAATATTTTAAGTCGCTTCATTTATTATCAGTTTTAATTTAATTTAATTTTATTATTTTATTTGGGAAATTTACAGACAAATAACAAAGTATATTAAAACTATGATCAGTCACATGCTAATAATAAATTTCCACATAAATAACACTTACATAAATTTCTTAACTCACATACAGACAAGATATAAAAAATGTCTAACCAATTTTGAGGTAAATGATGTTTTAACCATTAGAGCATTAAAATTACTGATAAACTACATTTCAAAATATTTTCCTGTCAAAATTCGCTTCACCTTTGAACAGCTAGTATAAAACAAGTCAAGATTATCAGATGTTGCATTGTTGAAGAGTCTAACTGCTCTGATAATAAAAGAATTCTGACGAAACTTAGTTCGAGCAGAAGGTGCATGTAAAATGGGTCGTTGCCTTAATGATAGGTTAGGTTTAAGTAATATTTTAGGTAAAAGTTCAGCACAATCAACTGTTCCATTAGCAATTTTAAATAAGTAAATAACATCACTTATGTTTCGTCAAAGTGTCAGTGGTAGAAAGTGATAATGTCTGCAACGGTGTTCGTAGTCAATTAATTTTTTTTTTGCTTTAAAATCTAAGTATTTTAAAAACCTTCCCTGAATAGACTCAATACTAGACTTATAAATTTCATATTGGGGATTCCAAATTTGGCTAGCATATTCGAGGTGACTTCTCACGTACGCACAATATAATATTTTGATGGATTTCAAGTTACGAAAATCAGAAGATGCCCTCATTAGAAACCCAAGCATTTTGTTAGCTTTTTTAACTTTACTGTCGATGTGTTTGTCAAATAATAATTTATTATCATGTAATACACCTAGGTCATTTATTTGGGTAACAACCGAAATTGGACTTTTGCCAAGAGTATATTTAGAATAAATTATATTTGTTTTACGTGTAAAAGTCATATGAAAGCATTTTGAGACATTTAAGTCTAATTTATTGATAAAACAATATTGCTCAAACCTGTTCAAATCTTCTTGAAGGTCTTTGGCATCGGACTCACATGTAATAGCTTTCAAAATTTTTAAGTCATCAGCGAATGAAAGAATTTTGGATTTCTAAAAGCAGTCACTAATTACCACTTCTATTCATAAACGAAGATTATGAATAGAAGTGGTCCTAAAATTGAACCTTGCGGTACGCCTGCAGAGACATGACTCCATTTAGATATGTACCCTTGAACAAAAACGGCTTGTCGCCTATTATCAATATATGAACAAAACCAACGATACAAGTCTCCATGAATACCAGCAGCTGCTAATTTATTCATAAGTACGCAGTGGTCAATACGATCAAAACATTTACGGTAGTCTGTGTAAATAACATCAACTTGAGCCGAGTTATTCATGCCCTCCGTCATGAAGTTATTAGCTAGTATGAGATTAGACGTTGTTGAACGCCCAATTAAAAAGCCGTGCTGTCTATCATTGAAAGTGCATTTGAGTGTAGCATATACTTGGTGGTGCACTATTCTTTCTAAAACCTTGGCGAAAAGACATAGTTTTGAGATGGGACGATAATTTTCCACGTCCGATTTGTCACCTTTTTTACAGGGGTTACGAATGCCGATTTCCAGATCGAGGGAACGATTCCTTCTCTTAATGAGCGATTAAAAAGAACATAAAGAGGAGTAACCAGACTTTCCGCACAGCGTACAATGAATAAGGGGGGTATGAGATCTGGACCACCAGATTTAGATAAATCAAGCCCTTTAATTAATTTAAGTATTTTCGCTTCCGAAACCTCGATGGAAGCTATGCTACTTGGTCCCAAACTTTCAATATAGTGTGTTAAAGAGGGTTTGTTAGATACCCCAGACAAGAATGTGGAATTAAAGTAGTTTGAGAATAGGTCGCTTATCTCGCCACCAGAGTCCGCCTGAGTGTCTTTAAACTTCATCATATTTGTTATTCCATTAGATTTATTTTTGCTTTTGACATATGACCAAAATGATTTTGGGTTTTCGGCTATATTAGATTCAATTTTGGGAACGTAATTGTCAAAACAACTTTTTTCTAATCTAACTGCTCTATCACGTAATAGACTAAATGATTGATAGTCAGAGAGATTTCCATACGTCTTATACTTCCTATGAAATTTGGATTTTTCTCTCAATACTTTAATAAGTGACGAATTGTACCAGGGAGGATAGCGATTAAATTTTATGCGCTGCAGAGGTATATATTTATCCCTAAGCTCGTATAACTTATTATAAAATAATTGAACAGCTTTATCTAATGGTTCCAATTTCAAAATAGTATACTAATCCATTGTATCTAGATCTGCACAAATGTTTAGATAATCGCCTCGATGAAATAAAAAATTTTTGCCATAGACACTAGCCAGTATCTTTATGTTATCGAAGTTTATTGTTATATACAGTGATTTGTGGTGGGCATCTTCAGGTACTAGCGGAGATTCCGAGACAGATACGCTCATGTTTGAAAGAACTAAGTCTAATATTCGATTATTTACGTTAGACTCGCCATTAAATTGACTCAGACCACAAGAACATATGATATCTAAAAACTCTAGTATATGCTCACTGTGCGGGACAGAAAGTGATTTGGACTTACGATTTTTTTATTTTCTCCGATAGCCTCTAGAGCAGCGCTGGTCTGCCTGTATTTTCGTAAGTTTCCGGATGTTGTAGGAATGTTATCTTGAGCTAGTCCTAACTGTCCTTCACGTAATCTGTTGATTTGATGATGTTCCTTTGTGCTCGTTGAACAACCGACGCGCGGCGATGATATGTAATTTGGGTCGGGGCTTTTCGTAAGTCGACCGATCCTTATGGCGTCGTAGTAGTAACAGGCAGCTGACAGATACTGCCTGTCTACCCTCGTATTACAATAAAAAATCGTCCAAGGGATAGGAATAGATACACGATAATAAGGATTCCACACAGGGCTTGCGAATTCCAATCGACTACGCACGTAACTGTTAAAAAGCATCTTATATGTAAGAGAACTCTTAAAAGGTTTTCCTATGCGCAATATGAATCCCAAGAATTTAAAAGACTGGTTTACTGCTTTTTCAATGTGCGGGACAAATGTAAGTCTAGAATCCATTATAACACCTAGATCTCTTATTTCTGTTACGCGATTTAAAGTTTTTCCACACAATGTATAACAGAAATTTATCAGGTTTTTTTCCTTGTAAAAGAGATAATATGGCATTTATCTGGATTTAAAAATAAATTATTATTAATGCAGTATCTTTCAAAGTTATTTAGATCGCCCTGCAGTAAAGTACAGTCTCTAGTATCTCGTATAACTCGGAATAATTTTGTATCATCTGCATAAAGAAGAACATTAGAATTATTAATAAATGTATGTAAATCATTGACATATAAAATAAAGAGCAATGGTCCTAGGTGTGATCCTTGAGGAACACCCGAAGGTACATCTTTGTACGCAGATTGATAACCCGACAATGCTACAGCCTGACAACGATTCACTATGTATGACTTTATCCAGCGAAACAAATCGCCGTGAATACCGAGCTGCCAAAGTTTAGTTAAGAGAGTATTGTGTTGTGACAGATTTTATCGAAACACTTGGCGAAGTCGGTATAAACAGCATCAACCTGAACATTGCTGTCCATTTTATCTAATAAGATCTCTGTAAAGCTGAGGAGGTTACTATCAACACCACGCTTCCTACAAAATCCATGCTGAGATTGTGCAATGAACTGCTTGACCACGCCAAGTAATTGGTCCGTGACAATTTTTTCTTGAATTTTGGCAAATTGACATAACTTTGAAATGGGGCGGAAATCCACTATATCGTGGCTAGCAGAACCCTTAGGAATTGGTGTTATTAGTGCGCGTTTCCATTCATGCGGCACAATACCGTTGCTGAATGACAACTTAAAAATGTGCAGCAGAGGGGCAGTTAATGAGTCAGCACACTTCTGAATAAACAAAGGGTGTATACCATCTGGACCCGTTCCTTTATTCGTGTTAATACCTCTTAAGTATTTACTTAATATTGTCTCTGAGATATCTATAGTAGCCACATCCAACAAAGCGTTACTCGGTGGATCCGTCGAAAGAATGGTAGGGTTTTCTGATGTGCTACTTACAAAAACTGAGTGGAAGTGTTCACTAAAGAACTCACAAATACGTTTCCCATCACTACTACTCTGTCCTTTATAGTGTAGTAACTCCGGTATCCTACTATTAGCCTTAACACCTTTTACGTATGTCCAAAAATACTTAGGGTAAGATTTAATTTTGAGTTCTGCATAACTTATGTAATTTTTGAAACATTCTCTCTCCATGTGTTTTGATCTTTTCGTAAAAGTTTAAAAGTTTCATAATCTAAAGGATTCCCATACAACTTCCAACGCTTATGAAATTTTCTTTTTTCATTTAAGAGTTTTCGCAGGGGCTTGGTATACCATATAGGATGGGTACTGTTGGATGTGATTAATTTTTGGGGTACGTATTTCGTTATAAGATCATTTAAAAGTAAGTAAAATTTAGAAACGCATTCTTGCAAGGTTAAGTTCTTGAAATATTCTTTCCAGTTCACACTTTCCAGCTCATCATTTATCAGATGATAGTCTGCTTTCACAAAGTTATACCTAAAAGTCGGTGCTGGCTTAAGCTCAGAGAAATTATTTATATTTAAACAAATTTGTAAAGATTTGTGATGTGAGTCTTCGTGAGTTAGAGGATGTGAACAACTATAAATATCACACTCAGTGCTACTTAATACCAAATCCAATATTCTATTACTAACATTTTTAATTCCATTATATTGCTGCAAATTACTGAAAGACATAAAGTGCCTCAAAGTGTTGACTGAGACGTCACCACCACCTTGAAGCAATTTACTGGGGGGTGCTAGTATCAAGCCACACCGCACTGGAAATGTTAAAGTCACCCGCCAATAGATAAAGGTCATGTGGGCGTTCATTTAAAATATCACCAGCCACGCTAAAAAAGCCCTCCAAGGCATCACGGTAACCCGGACCGTGCGGTATGTATATACAAGCAATGTTCAGGTGTTTGCTGCGAGCTGCATTCAACGGTATAGATACCCAAACACAGTCGCAAGAGGCGCGCGGCGGGACTGGCCAGGCTCGGCACAACGGCCGCAAGTCAGTGCGCACGGCGACAGCGACGCCGCCACCACGTCTCGCACCGCTATCAACCTGCGCGCGGTCACACCTGTATATAGTATATCTGTTATCGAAATATTCTCTATCGTAAAAATCGGGAGTCAGCCAACTTTCGGTTATACATATGAAATCATAGGCAGAAGCAGTTACCTGTGTCAGGAAATCATGTGATTTTGTTCGCAAGCCCCTAACGTTCTGGTAATAACCTAGTAGTTTCTTTACGGACGGACCGGATTGTTTAAGATACAAGTATGAGATAGGTACTGATAACAACAACGAATCACAACACTGAAATGATTTTTAATAGGAACTTTCATTAGGTAAGAGAAATACTTTATCAACAGAAAGTGATTTATAACAAAAAAATGGACGCATAAGGCTAGTGAGAACAAAATTTTTAGACCTATGAAAACATAATTTACTGTAGAATTTGATATGGTTAAAATTATATAAATTATATAAAGTACTGGGCTGACATATAAAATAAATAAATATGTAAGAGGGAGTTTGCTGCACTCATTTATCATGAAATCTAATAATAAATATGAAGCTATGAGAACATAATATACTGAGTAATTAAAGTAAGTCAAACATTTATATAGTGTTTTGCTAGTACATATGACAAAGAATCGTTCAAGAAGTCATTTAAGCTTAGACAGATCTGATTCACTGGTTATGGTTATAACCTTTGACTCCTTGCTCTTGCGCATAAATATCTTGCAGTCCCTTATCCACAAAAAGGAATACTCCAAATCGGATTTTAGCTGCCGAGCTCTTTTCAATAGAAGTTTGTTCCTTGGAGTTAGGTGATCGGACACATAGATATTTTGTTTAGGTCCCGACAGACCAATGTCCACGGTGGAAAGTGATCGTCGCTCTCGAACTGCAGCTAAAAGTTTATCTTTAGCGATACGGCGCGTGAATTTAACAACTATGGCTGGAGGTCGTGGGCCGGTCGAGTTAGCGTCCGCCGCCGCCGAACCGCTGATTTCAAAACGCCTCACACGCACTACGCTATCTATGTCTTGTTCACTCAGCGAGCAGTTAACTTTATTACTGATGACATGCAATAGGGTGTAGAGGTTTTCACCAGCAGTAACGGGGATTCCGGAAATCTCCACGTTGTTCATACGTGAGAACTGATCCCGTTTATGATTTTCGAGCTCAAGTGCCGCAATAGCGTTTTTCGCAGAATCCAAATCAGCTTTCAATTGCGGTATCACAGAAGATTTTTTCTCTGTTTCTATAAGTCTGTCCTCAATGGCGCTAAATCGAGATTCCATCTCACAGAATTTTTTATTCAATTCCTGTATTGCCGTAGTAACATTTTGGATGTTGGTATTCAATGAGGCAAAGTCGCCACGGAACGCTCTCATCTCCTTAAGGACATCGGCTATACTTGCCTCAGCGTTCGCTGGGGAATTGGACGAACCCCCCACTCCCACTGCTCAACAACATCGTCGCAGGACATGTCTGCATCTGTCGATACCTGCTCAAACTGCCGCCTCGTAGGTGTTTCATCTCCTTTAGGACGTCTGGATGTCATGTTACAAGTGGGACAGATCCATTTGTTCTTAGTGGCCATGTATGCCTGCGGTGACATGTTTAAACATTTGTAGTGATAATGTCCCTTACAACCCACACAAGTCAATACCTCTATACGATTAATCTTATTCTTACAGGCTTGGCAATCCATGGTAATAAAAAAAAAATGTGTTGGTATAGCCAAACAAGTGATTCTATCAAGTTGTATCTTATAGAGTTGTTAAGTTTTGTTAAAAGCCCCTAAAAAAACCCCCAAAAAATTCCAGCCCGTAAAAAAGTCCGTTTTAACACTTCTAGCCCCTAAATCTGGGGGCAAAACCCCTAAGTTAGGAACCACAGACCAATAAGAGAACAAGTTTCTCCCTTTTTAGAGAAGGCAAAGGGAACAATACCCGTACAGCCTAGTGTTTAGTTATATTTAATAATTTATTTTTTACATTACAATGTCAGTGTGACGCATTCTACTGTTTCTTGGCACGAAATGCATCGCGTTGGCTTTTTCCTTAAGCTTCTGTGAGGTAGTCAACACTACAATAAAGTTCTCACGTCCATTTGACGGGAATCGTGTATATTTCAAAGATTTCACTAATTCTTCAGTTGCGCAGACAGTTGTAACACAACATTACATCAATTTTATTTCACAATATCCACTAAAAACGAATTTAAGAATAATTAAATTATGACGCCAACCGCACTCGATGAAATCCCGCCAAAAGCTCCCTTTTTTTAAGATTCTCTCGTTTTAGGATAGGCAAAGAGAACAATGCCCATACATCCTGGTCTTTAGTCATATGAATCTTATTTTTTTACATTAGAATGTCGGTGCGACGCATTATTAAGGTTCTTGGAGTCTTTGGCACGAAATTTAGTTGGTTTTTTCGATAAGCTTCTGTGAGTTAGTCAACACTACAATAAAGTTCTCACGTCCACTTGACCGGAATAGCGTATATTTTAAAGATTCCACTAATTCTTCAGTTGCGCAGACGTAGACGGTTGTAACACAAAATCACAAAAAAAAATTACAATATCCACTATAAACGAATTTAAGAATAATTAAAATAAGACGCCAAACGTACTCGATGAAATCCCCCCAAAATAAACCTTATATTGAAGGGATTTCATCGAGTTTCATCGATTTTATTCTTCTTATAGGGCATGCACGGTATGTGCGTTCAGCCAACGTCAAGTAAAAAATTAAGGAAACAGTTGAGGAAAAAAAAATCGGAAATATTAAGAAATTTGAAAAGGATCATGATTGTAAAAATATATATATATCTACATTTAAAGTTTTATACTATTGAGCAAAAGGAATGATATAACCTCCTACGACCCAGTTTCGAAGAGAGTACTTCCGAGAAATAATAATAATATTTATTTAACAATAGTAAAATGATACATGAACATTAATTTTACAATAAGCACCATACCAATAACATGTTCAAAACAGTGCGAGTCTCAAACTCCCAAACTAGGACATGTCCTGTATCTCAGGAGTCAGTGGCTCATCCCAGTTAAGTAAACTCAATCTCAATAGCGTACTTAAGAACATAATGTTATGAATTTAATGCAAATGATTCTGTATCTGTTTGTGTGCGTGTGTGTGTGTGTGTGCGTGCGTGTGTGTGTGACTGTGTGCGTTTGTGCGGGTGGGTGTGTGTTCATGCGCGTGGGTGCGTGTACAATAATAGGTAGTTTACCTAATAAGATCTTCAGTTTCCTCATAATTGTATTTTAGAAGTAAATCACTTACAGTTTTTTTTACATTATGTAGTGTCAATGAAAAAATGGGTTTTATATTATGAATTTTATTATATAATTTTGTGCTGACAGCGTTATATTGTTTACTAGCCCATGCTGTGCGACACATGATCTGGGAACAAACAGGAGCACAGTGACGTCTTGATGATGTGTCGAGCTCCAGAGGCAGGGAAGAGTGTTTGCGTAGAAGCATACGAAGGATGGAGAAAGACCTAATGTCCTAATAAAGTACTGACCGCCCAGAAAAAAATGTTTGTATCTGGTTAACCTCAACACATAACTGCTGTCATATTTTAGGGGTGAATATTTATTTAGGCTTGTCAGACAAAAAGAAAAAACACCAATATCTTTTGTTCTTTATTTAGCACATTGGGCTGTCACGTATGAATGTGTGTGTACAGCAAATCGACCAGTCTTCAAAATCTTATAAAAAGTTATATATTTAAAAACTTAATACTAGCAGAGATCAACAAAATAGCTTTCACCTTTATCAAAGTTATAATAATAGTTAAATCTTCTTTCTCATAGAAAGCTCAAATATCACACACAAAATTAAAATGTTGGCATCAAAATCAACGAAACAATAGTATTTGTACCATTAAAGTTTTATAACTGACCTTTTTCTAAAAAAAACTCAAAAACCCCTCAGCGAATGGGAATTTTAACAAAAAAAATATACTAATAATTACCATTATTGACCTATTTTCATAATAGGAATTCAAAAATCACATTAAGTTTATGATTTTCAGATCCTTGGAGCTAAATCAATGTAACTAAAAATTTACGGTTTTCGCAATATTTCCTTTATCTGTACTATAATACGTTACTTCGTACCAAATTTCAAGATTCTAAGTTCACGGGAAGTACCCTATAGGTTTGGATTCCCGTGCGAGTTTCGAAAAGGAGATTGCTCAGCTTCCATACATGTTTGGCCTAAAGACCAATAATTATGAAAAATTGTTTCCTAGATTCGAAATAATATATAAATTACTGTAGAACTGAATATTATTGACGAACACCCCTGAGAAATTCTATAAACCATATACACTGAATGATTTTGAGGTTATGTTTGCGAAAAGTTATCATAATTTTATAAAAACCAATAAGATGTATTCTTAGTAATAGTTAGGTTTATAATGGTAAAAGGTAATTCAAATGTAATAACATCGCACTTCTTACGAAAAACTATTTTGAATTTGTATAAATAGCTGTAAGTTTTCCCATTCAAATAAATAAATAAATATTTTTTTCCAAAAGGCTGTTAAAATTTTGCCAAGGCTTTATTATTTAAGCTAAAAATTATGCTTTGGTACAATTTTCGATGTAAAATAAAACGTATTTAGGTGGCATATTAATGACCCAGACCAGTTAATTAATAATACACGTAACGTAATAGGCTAGTTGCTCCTTTTTGGAAAAAGGTTTTAAATGGTTAATAAATGTTCTATTAGACAGAAAAAAATGTATTGTATTTTTTTGAGACCTAGAAAGCTACTTTTTAATTTTAAAATAGACTTTTCATGGACATACAAAAACGCTTTCGGCCATTTTAGTCTATAGATTATCTATGCTATGACGTCAACCGGTAGTAAACAAAAACTCTTAAGCACGTAGAAAATAACTTAACTGAGTTTATAATAAAGAAAACATGATATTCTAATAAATACCACGAAAAATATAGTAAGTATCATTATTGTATTGTACGAGAATGTAAAAATACATCCTTAAAGACTCCAGGAAAGTTATAGATTAAAAAGTGCCGAAAGAAATTAACCTATAATAAAATTTATTTTTGCGAAGATCACTTTGTCGTAAGTACTCATTGAATAATATTTTAAGTCGCTTCATTTATTATCAGTTTTAATTTAATTTAATTTTATTATTTTATTTGGGAAATTTACAGACAAATAACAAAGTATATTAAAACTATGATCAGTCACATGCTAATAATAAATTTCCACATAAATAACACTTACATAAATTTCTTAACTCACATACAGACAAGATATAAAAAATGTCTAACCAATTTTGAGGTAAATGATGTTTTAACCATTAGAGCATTAAAATTACTGATAAACTACATTTCAAAATATTTTCCTGTCAAAATTCGCTTCACCTTTGAACAGCTAGTATAAAACAAGTCAAGATTATCAGATGTTGCATTGTTGAAGAGTCTAACTGCTCTGATAATAAAAGAATTCTGACGAAACTTAGTTCGAGCAGAAGGTGCATGTAAAATGGGTCGTTGCCTTAATGATAGGTTAGGTTTAAGTAATATTTTAGGTAAAAGTTCAGCACAATCAACTGTTCCATTAGCAATTTTAAATAAGTAAATAACATCACTTATGTTTCGTCAAAGTGTCAGTGGTAGAAAGTGATAATGTCTGCAACGGTGTTCGTAGTCAATTAATTTTTTTTTTGCTTTAAAATCTAAGTATTTTAAAAACCTTCCCTGAATAGACTCAATACTAGACTTATAAATTTCATATTGGGGATTCCAAATTTGGCTAGCATATTCGAGGTGACTTCTCACGTACGCACAATATAATATTTTGATGGATTTCAAGTTACGAAAATCAGAAGATGCCCTCATTAGAAACCCAAGCATTTTGTTAGCTTTTTTAACTTTACTGTCGATGTGTTTGTCAAATAATAATTTATTATCATGTAATACACCTAGGTCATTTATTTGGGTAACAACCGAAATTGGACTTTTGCCAAGAGTATATTTAGAATAAATTATATTTGTTTTACGTGTAAAAGTCATATGAAAGCATTTTGAGACATTTAAGTCTAATTTATTGATAAAACAATATTGCTCAAACCTGTTCAAATCTTCTTGAAGGTCTTTGGCATCGGACTCACATGTAATAGCTTTCAAAATTTTTAAGTCATCAGCGAATGAAAGAATTTTGGATTTCTAAAAGCAGTCACTAATTACCACTTCTATTCATAAACGAAGATTATGAATAGAAGTGGTCCTAAAATTGAACCTTGCGGTACGCCTGCAGAGACATGACTCCATTTAGATATGTACCCTTGAACAAAAACGGCTTGTCGCCTATTATCAATATATGAACAAAACCAACGATACAAGTCTCCATGAATACCAGCAGCTGCTAATTTATTCATAAGTACGCAGTGGTCAATACGATCAAAACATTTACGGTAGTCTGTATAAATAACATCAACTTGAGCCGAGTTATTCATGCACTCCGTCATGAAGTTATTAGCTAGTATGAGATTAGACGTTGTTGAACGCCCAATTAAAAAGCCGTGCTGTCTATCATTGAAAGTGCATTTGAGTGTAGCATATACTTGGTGGTGCACTATTCTTTCTAAAACCTTGGCGAAAAGACATAGTTTTGAGATGGGACGATAATTTTCCACGTCCGATTTGTCACCTTTTTTACAGGGGTTACGAATGCCGATTTCCAGATCGAGGGAACGATTCCTTCTCTTAATGAGCGATTAAAAAGAACATAAAGAGGAGTAACCAGACTTTCCGCACAGCGTACAATGAATAAGGGGGGTATGAGATCTGGACCACCAGATTTAGATAAATCAAGCCCTTTAATTAATTTAAGTATTTTCGCTTCCGAAACCTCGATGGAAGCTATGCTACTTGGTCCCAAACTTTCAATATAGTGTGTTAAAGAGGGTTTGTTAGATACCCCAGACAAGAATGTGGAATTAAAGTAGTTTGAGAATAGGTCGCTTATCTCGCCACCAGAGTCCGCCTGAGTGTCTTTAAACTTCATCATATTTGTTATTCCATTAGATTTATTTTTGCTTCTGACATATGACCAAAATGATTTTGGGTTTTCGGCTATATTAGATTCAATTTTGGGAACGTAATTGTCAAAACAACTTTTTTCTAATCTAACTGCTCTATCACGTAATAGACTAAATGATTGATAGTCAGAGAGATTTCCATACGTCTTATACTTCCTATGAAATTTGGATTTTTCTCTCAATACTTTAATAAGTGACGAATTGTACCAGGGAGGATAGCGATTAAATTTTATGCGCTGCAGAGGTATATATTTATCCCTAATCGTATAACTTATTATAAAATAATTGAACAGCTTTATCTAATGGTTCCAATTTCAAAATAGTATACTAATCCATTGTATCTAGATCTGCACAAATGTTTAGATAATCGCCTCGATGAAATAAAAAATTTTTGCCATAGACACTAGCCAGTATCTTTATGTTATCGAAGTTTATTGTTATATACAGTGATTTTGGTGGGCACTTCAGACTAGCGAGATTCCGAGACAGATACGCTCATGTTTGAAAGAACTAAGTCTAATATTCGATTATTTACGTTAGACTCGCCATTAAATTGACTCAGACCACAAGAACATATGATATCTAAAAACTCTAGTATATGCTCACTGTGCGGGACAGAAAGTGATTTGGACTTACGATTTTTTTATTTTCTCCGATAGCCTCTAGAGCAGCGCTGGTCTGCCTGTATTTTCGTAAGTTTCCGGATGTTGTAGGAATGTTATCTTGAGCTAGTCCTAACTGTCCTTCACGTAATCTGTTGATTTGATGATGTTCCTTTGTGCTCGTTGAACAACCGACGCGCGGCGATGATATGTAATTTGGGTCGGGGCTTTTCGTAAGTCGACCGATCCTTATGGCGTCGTAGTAGTAACAGGCAGCTGACAGATACTGCCTGTCTACCCTCGTATTACAATAAAAAATCGTCCAAGGGATAGGAATAGATACACGATAATAAGGATTCCACACAGGGCTTGCGAATTCCAATCGACTACGCACGTAACTGTTAAAAAGCATCTTATATGTAAGAGAACTCTTAAAAGGTTTTCCTATGCGCAATATGAATCCCAAGAATTTAAAAGACTGGTTTACTGCTTTTTCAATGTGCGGGACAAATGTAAGTCTAGAATCCATTATAACACCTAGATCTCTTATTTCTGTTACGCGATTTAAAGTTTTTCCACACAATGTATAACAGAAATTTATCAGGTTTTTTTCCTTGTAAAAGAGATAATATGGCATTTATCTGGATTTAAAAATAAATTATTATTAATGCAGTATCTTTCAAAGTTATTTAGATCGCCCTGCAGTAAAGTACAGTCTCTAGTATCTCGTATAACTCGGAATAATTTTGTATCATCTGCATAAAGAAGAACATTAGAATTATTAATAAATGTATGTAAATCATTGACATATAAAATAAAGAGCAATGGTCCTAGGTGTGATCCTTGAGGAACACCCGAAGGTACATCTTTGTACGCAGATTGATAACCCGACAATGCTACAGCCTGACAACGATTCACTATGTATGACTTTATCCAGCGAAACAAATCGCCGTGAATACCGAGCTGCCAAAGTTTAGTTAAGAGAGTATTGTGTTGTGACAGATTTTATCGAAACACTTGGCGAAGTCGGTATAAACAGCATCAACCTGAACATTGCTGTCCATTTTATCTAATAAGATCTCTGTAAAGCTGAGGAGGTTACTATCAACACCACGCTTCCTACAAAATCCATGCTGAGATTGTGCAATGAACTGCTTGACCACGCCAAGTAATTGGTCCGTGACAATTTTTTCTTGAATTTTGGCAAATTGACATAACTTTGAAATGGGGCGGAAATCCACTATATCGTGGCTAGCAGAACCCTTAGGAATTGGTGTTATTAGTGCGCGTTTCCATTCATGCGGCACAATACCGTTGCTGAATGACAACTTAAAAATGTGCAGCAGAGGGGCAGTTAATGAGTCAGCACACTTCTGAATAAACAAAGGGTGTATACCATCTGGACCCGTTCCTTTATTCGTGTTAATACCTCTTAAGTATTTACTTAATATTGTCTCTGAGATATCTATAGTAGCCACATCCAACAAAGCGTTACTCGGTGGATCCGTCGAAAGAATGGTAGGGTTTTCTGATGTGCTACTTACAAAAACTGAGTGGAAGTGTTCACTAAAGAACTCACAAATACGTTTCCCATCACTACTACTCTGTCCTTTATAGTGTAGTAACTCCGGTATCCTACTATTAGCCTTAACACCTTTTACGTATGTCCAAAAATACTTAGGGTAAGATTTAATTTTGAGTTCTGCATAACTTATGTAATTTTTGAAACATTCTCTCTCCATGTGTTTTGATCTTTTTCGTAAAAGTTTAAAAGTTTCATAATCTAAAGGATTCCCATACAACTTCCAACGCTTATGAAATTTTCTTTTTTCATTTAAGAGTTTTCGCAGGGGCTTGGTATACCATATAGGATGGGTACTGTTGGATGTGATTAATTTTTGGGGTACGTATTTCGTTATAAGATCATTTAAAAGTAAGTAAAATTTAGAAACGCATTCTTGCAAGGTTAAGTTCTTGAAATATTCTTTCCAGTTCACACTTTCCAGCTCATCATTTATCAGATGATAGTCTGCTTTCACAAAGTTATACCTAAAAGTCGGTGCTGGCTTAAGCTCAGAGAAATTATTTATATTTAAACAAATTTGTAAAGATTTGTGATGTGAGTCTTCGTGAGTTAGAGGATGTGAACAACTATAAATATCACACTCAGTGCTACTTAATACCAAATCCAATATTCTATTATTAACATTTTTAATTCCATTATATTGCTGCAAATTACTGAAAGACATAAAGTGCCTCAAAGTGTTGACTGAGACGTCACCACCACCTTGAAGCAATTTACTGGGGGTGCTAGTATCAAGCCACACCGCACTGGAAATGTTAAAGTCACCCGCCAATAGATAAAGGTCATGTGGGCGTTCATTTAAAATATCACCAGCCACGCTAAAAAAGCCCTCCAAGGCATCACGGTAACCCGGACCGTGCGGTATGTATATACAAGCAATGTTCAGGTGTTTGCTGCGAGCTGCATTCAACGGTATAGATACCCAAACACAGTCGCAAGAGGCGCGCGGCGGGACTGGCCAGGCTCGGCACAACGGCCGCAAGTCAGTGCGCACGGCGACAGCGACGCCGCCACCACGTCTCGCACCGCTATCAACCTGCGCGCGGTCACACCTGTATATAGTATATCTGTTATCGAAATATTCTCTATCGTAAAAATCGGGAGTCAGCCAACTTTCGGTTATACATATGAAATCATAGGCAGAAGCAGTTACCTGTGTCAGGAAATCATGTGATTTTGTTCGCAAGCCCCTAACGTTCTGGTAATAACCTAGTAGTTTCTTTACGGACGGACCGGATTGTTTAAGATACAAGTATGAGATAGGTACTGATAACAACAACGAATCACAACACTGAAATGATTTTTAATAGGAACTTTCATTAGGTAAGAGAAATACTTTATCAACAGAAAGTGATTTATAACAAAAAAATGGACGCATAAGGCTAGTGAGAACAAAATTTTTAGACCTATGAAAACATAATTTACTGTAGAATTTGATATGGTTAAAATTATATAAATTATATAAAGTACTGGGCTGACATATAAAATAAATAAATATGTAAGAGGGAGTTTGCTGCACTCATTTATCATGAAATCTAATAATAAATATGAAGCTATGAGAACATAATATACTGAGTAATTAAAGTAAGTCAAACATTTATATAGTGTTTTGCTAGTACATATGACAAAGAATCGTTCAAGAAGTCATTTAAGCTTAGACAGATCTGATTCACTGGTTATGGTTATAACCTTTGACTCCTTGCTCTTGCGCATAAATATCTTGCAGTCCCTTATCCACAAAAAGGAATACTCCAAATCGGATTTTAGCTGCCGAGCTCTTTTCAATAGAAGTTTGTTCCTTGGAGTTAGGTGATCGGACACATAGATATTTTGTTTAGGTCCCGACAGACCAATGTCCACGGTGGAAAGTGATCGTCGCTCTCGAACTGCAGCTAAAAGTTTATCTTTAGCGATACGGCGCGTGAATTTAACAACTATGGCTGGAGGTCGTGGGCCGGTCGAGTTAGCGTCCGCCGCCGCCGAACCGCTGATTTCAAAACGCCTCACACGCACTACGCTATCTATGTCTTGTTCACTCAGCGAGCAGTTAACTTTATTACTGATGACATGCAATAGGGTGTAGAGGTTTTCACCAGCAGTAACGGGGATTCCGGAAATCTCCACGTTGTTCATACGTGAGAACTGATCCCGTTTATGATTTTCGAGCTCAAGTGCCGCAATAGCGTTTTTCGCAGAATCCAAATCAGCTTTCAATTGCGGTATCACAGAAGATTTTTTCTCTGTTTCTATAAGTCTGTCCTCAATGGCGCTAAATCGAGATTCCATCTCACAGAATTTTTTATTCAATTCCTGTATTGCCGTAGTAACATTTTGGATGTTGGTATTCAATGAGGCAAAGTCGCCACGGAACGCTCTCATCTCCTTAAGGACATCGGCTATACTTGCCTCAGCGTTCGCTGGGGAATTGGACGAACCCCCCACTCCCACTGCTCAACAACATCGTCGCAGGACATGTCTGCATCTGTCGATACCTGCTCAAACTGCCGCCTCGTAGGTGTTTCATCTCCTTTAGGACGTCTGGATGTCATGTTACAAGTGGGACAGATCCATTTGTTCTTAGTGGCCATGTATGCCTGCGGTGACATGTTTAAACATTTGTAGTGATAATGTCCCTTACAACCCACACAAGTCAATACCTCTATACGATTAATCTTATTCTTACAGGCTTGGCAATCCATGGTAATAAAAAAAAAATGTGTTGGTATAGCCAAACAAGTGATTCTATCAAGTTGTATCTTATAGAGTTGTTAAGTTTTGTTAAAAGCCCCTAAAAAAACCCCCAAAAAATTCCAGCCCGTAAAAAAGTCCGTTTTAACACTTCTAGCCCCTAAATCTGGGGGCAAAACCCCTAAGTTAGGAACCACAGACCAATAAGAGAACAAGTTTCTCCCTTTTTAGAGAAGGCAAAGGGAACAATACCCGTACAGCCTAGTGTTTAGTTATATTTAATAATTTATTTTTTACATTACAATGTCAGTGTGACGCATTCTACTGTTTCTTGGCACGAAATGCATCGCGTTGGCTTTTTCCTTAAGCTTCTGTGAGGTAGTCAACACTACAATAAAGTTCTCACGTCCATTTGACGGGAATCGTGTATATTTCAAAGATTTCACTAATTCTTCAGTTGCGCAGACAGTTGTAACACAACATTACATCAATTTTATTTCACAATATCCACTAAAAACGAATTTAAGAATAATTAAATTATGACGCCAACCGCACTCGATGAAATCCCGCCAAAAGCTCCCTTTTTTTAAGATTCTCTCGTTTTAGGATAGGCAAAGAGAACAATGCCCATACATCCTGGTCTTTAGTCATATGAATCTTATTTTTTTACATTAGAATGTCGGTGCGACGCATTATTAAGGTTCTTGGAGTCTTTGGCACGAAATTTAGTTGGTTTTTTCGATAAGCTTCTGTGAGTTAGTCAACACTACAATAAAGTTCTCACGTCCACTTGACCGGAATAGCGTATATTTTAAAGATTCCACTAATTCTTCAGTTGCGCAGACGTAGACGGTTGTAACACAAAATCACAAAAAAAAATTACAATATCCACTATAAACGAATTTAAGAATAATTAAAATAAGACGCCAAACGTACTCGATGAAATCCCCCAAAATAAACCTTATATTGAAGGGATTTCATCGAGTTTCATCGATTTTATTCTTCTTATAGGGCATGCACGGTATGTGCGTTCAGCCAACGTCAAGTAAAAAATTAAGGAAACAGTTGAGGAAAAAAAGAATCGGAAATATTAAGAAATTTGAAAAGGATCATGATTGTAAAAAATATATATATATCTACATTTAAAGTTTTATACTATTGAGCAAAAGGAATGATATAACCTCCTACGACCCAGTTTCGAAGAGAGTACTTCCGAGAAATAATAATAATATTTATTTAACAATAGTAAAATGATACATGAACATTAATTTTACAATAAGCACCATACCAATAACATGTTCAAAACAGTGCGAGTCTCAAACTCCCAAACTAGGACATGTCCTGTATCTCAGGAGTCAGTGGCTCATCCCAGTTAAGTAAACTCAATCTCAATAGCGTACTTAAGAACATAATGTTATGAATTTAATGCAAATGATTCTGTATCTGTTTGTGTGCGTGTGTGTGTGTGTGTGTGCGTGCGTGTGTGTGTGACTGTGTGCGTTTGTGCGGGTGGGTGTGTGTTCATGCGCGTGGGTGCGTGTACAATAATAGGTAGTTTACCTAATAAGATCTTCAGTTTCCTCATAATTGTATTTTAGAAGTAAATCACTTACAGTTTTTTTTACATTATGTAGTGTCAATGAAAAAATGGGTTTTATATTATGAATTTTATTATATAATTTTGTGCTGACAGCGTTATATTGTTTACTAGCCCATGCTGTGCGACACATGATCTGGGAACAAACAGGAGCACAGTGACGTCTTGATGATGTGTCGAGCTCCAGAGGCAGGGAAGAGTGTTTGCGTAGAAGCATACGAAGGATGGAGAAAGACCTAATGTCCTAATAAAGTACTGACCGCCCAGAAAAAAATTGTTTGTATCTGGTTAACCTCAACACATAACTGCTGTCATATTTTAGGGGTGAATATTTATTTAGGCTTGTCAGACAAAAAGAAAAAACACCAATATCTTTTGTTCTTTATTTAGCACATTGGGCTGTCACGTATGAATGTGTGTGTACAGCAAATCGACCAGTCTTCAAAATCTTATAAAAAGTTATATATTTAAAAACTTAATACTAGCAGAGATCAACAAAATAGCTTTCACCTTTATCAAAGTTATAATAATAGTTAAATCTTCTTTCTCATAGAAAGCTCAAATATCACACACAAAATTAAAATGTTGGCATCAAAATCAACGAAACAATAGTATTTGTACCATTAAAGTTTTATAACTGACCTTTTTCTAAAAAAAACTCAAAAACCCCTCAGCGAATGGGAATTTTAACAAAAAAAATATACTAATAATTACCATTATTGACCTATTTTCATAATAGGAATTCAAAAATCACATTAAGTTTATGATTTTCAGATCCTTGGAGCTAAATCAATGTAACTAAAAATTTACGGTTTTCGCAATATTTCCTTTATCTGTACTATAATACGTTACTTCGTACCAAATTTCAAGATTCTAAGTTCACGGGAAGTACCCTATAGGTTTGGATTCCCGTGCGAGTTTCGAAAAGGAGATTGCTCAGCTTCCATACATGTTTGGCCTAAAGACCAATAATTATGAAAAATTGTTTCCTAGATTCGAAATAATATATAAATTACTGTAGAACTGAATATTATTGACGAACACCCCTGAGAAATTCTATAAACCATATACACTGAATGATTTTGAGGTTATGTTTGCGAAAAGTTATCATAATTTTATAAAAACCAATAAGATGTATTCTTAGTAATAGTTAGGTTTATAATGGTAAAAGGTAATTCAAATGTAATAACATCGCACTTCTTACGAAAAACTATTTTGAATTTGTATAAATAGCTGTAAGTTTTCCATTCAAATAAATAAATAAATTTTTTTTCCAAAAGGCTGTTAAAATTTTGCCAAGGCTTTATTATTTAAGCTAAAAATTATGCTTTGGTACAATTTTCGATGTAAAATAAAACGTATTTAGGTGGCATATTAATAACCCAGACCAGTTAATTAATAATACACGTAACGTAATAGGCTAGTTGCTCCTTTTTGGAAAAAGGTTTTAAATGGTTAATAAATGTTCTATTAGACAGAAAAAAATGTATTGTATTTTTTTGAGACCTAGAAAGCTACTTTTTAATTTTAAAATAGACTTTTCATGGACATACAAAAACGCTTTCGGCCATTTTAGTCTATAGATTATCTATGCTATGACGTCAACCGGTAGTAAACAAAAACTCTTAAGCACGTAGAAAATAACTTAACTGAGTTTATAATAAAGAAAACATGATATTCTAATAAATACCACGAAAAATATAGTAAGTATCATTATTGTATTGTACGAGAATGTAAAAATACATCCTTAAAGACTCCAGGAAAGTTATAGATTAAAAAGTGCCGAAAGAAATTAACCTATAATAAAATTTATTTTTGCGAAGATCACTTTGTCGTAAGTACTCATTGAATAATATTTTAAGTCGCTTCATTTATTATCAGTTTTAATTTAATTTAATTTTATTATTTTATTTGGGAAATTTACAGACAAATAACAAAGTATATTAAAACTATGATCAGTCACATGCTAATAATAAATTTCCACATAAATACACTTACATAAAATTTCTTAACTCACATACAGACAAGATATAAAAATGTCTAACCAATTTTGAGGTAAATGATGTTTTAACGGTGATTGGGTTCGTTTCGTGTGGTCAGTTGAGCGCGTCAACCAATCAAAACGCTTAAAACGACACAAGCAAAGACCGCGAGAGCAGCTGTCACATGAGGAAGTAAATAAAATACCGCGTATCTACGCGTTCATACAATGAGTGGTCGTTTTGTTTGTGCTTAGTGAATATTAATGTTTTTTTGAAGAAGTATTGGAATTGCAGGTAAGCAAATTTTAATTTACGATTACCAAATAGATTAGTTACTCACTGAAAGTACGGACAGTTTAAAAATTATAATATTGGATTTATAACGATGTCTGTAAAGTTTTCATGGTAGATACGCGGTATTTTCATGATTTGTATTTCATTTTTTATTGTACTTACGCGGGTTTTACTTTACAATTAATACGTTTATAAGAACATAACTAAGGAAACTAATTTATGTGCTAAATATAAATAAAATCTACCTATAACTAGATACGAATATCGTTTTCTATTGCAGCCAAATCCAAATATGTTTAAGTAAAACGTTTCAATTATACACCAATGCCATACATTATTTCAAATAAGTAATTACTACAATTTCTTATTCAGATAATCATGGAAAAGGATCGGGATACCAATGTAGCAGAGCTTACTGATTGCAACGTAAAAGTTGTAACTTTAATGGACCTAAAAATACGACGTCAGGAGCTTTTACGTAAAAAACAAAAAGTTTTAGACAGAATGCTTCCCCAAAATCCATCTCCAATTTCTCATCCACTTCAACCTACGTTTGAAGCTCTAACTACTTACGAAACTACAGATATTGATATTGCTAATTGTGACACCTTGATCTTTGATACTATTTGTTCAACAACTGTTTCCCCGGACGATGCAGAAGAAACTGTCACCTATCCTCTCAACAACTCCATCAATGAACCGCTTGCTATCCCGGATATTGCAGAAGAGACCATAAATATACGAATAAATATTTCTCCTGACGATTCTATCGCCGATTCAAATTTTGTACCGCTCTCTGATATCACGAATGTAGAGCCTATGTTATCTAATGATCTAAATTCCTTTCCGGAACAAAATTTAGAGGCAGATGCAGCAAAAGCGTCAAGAAAACGAAAACGAAAAGCTGACCGTGAAACCTGGAAAAGAGATTTAAACAGGAAAGATAGAATGTTAGGCAAAGCTTATACTGGGTTTAAAAAAGTTAATAACAAGTATATTCAAAACGAACCAAAACCTAAAAGAACTATGGGTCCTAAGTGTAGCT